CTTCATGACCCATAATTGGGTCCCAAGCCCAACTTTGGGAACCAAAGTGCAGTGGTTCCCAAACTTTTCAGCTTTTGACCCACAAAATAAAACAGTAGCAGAGACCTGTGCCCCCAACTATTTTTGGATGATAAACATTTTTAACAGGTCAACAAAACATGGGCGTAGTAACAATATTTTTATACTACATTTATCCATTTTAAATACACTAACCTCACTCCTTTGTAACAACCAAGGCAAAAATTAAATTAATTCCAAAAATCTTTTCAGGACCCCACCTTGATGTTTCGGGACCCCACTTTGGGAAACACTGTTTTAATGTATGCTTCGTAAATCTATATTTTATTAACATCAAAATGTTTATTATGTTAGATTAAAACTTTTCACGATATAATTTAGCACACCTTTTGTAATTAATGTTGGAAATATTTCCATTACCTTTCCCTAAACTGAGCGCATTAAGCGATCCAGAAGTTTTTCTTTTAGAGCAAATGAGCTAACAGATCGGGCAGCGGCCCCGCTAAATGAGAAGCAAGTTCCCGCCATTAGCAGATTAGCGGGTTAGCAGCACTGTGCTAACCGCTTTACGACAGTAATTCAGATCTGTTTTCTAACACTATCTTGTGAATTACCCCAATCAATTTAAAAACACAACCCGAGTTTCTCCCTGCCCGTCTCATGTTGGAGGTCTTTGAGACGGTGGAGCGTCATGTCAGAGTGCTTCCTGTCAGCTCTCTCTCAGGGGTAAAAACACTCCTCATTGTCATTCACCCTGCTCTAACCCACATCTTCACTGCTGTTGTCATAGCTTTGCTTTTAAGATTTCCCCAAGTCGCTTACAGTACTCCATCTGGCCACTGGTAATCTAGATTAGATTTTTTTTGTATTATATATTCAAAGACACACTTTCCATCACAATGTGAACAGTCTGTGTGGTTTGGTTTGATGTGCACTGAGGAGGAAATAGGACRGGCTGAAAACTGGAAAAAAAAAACCACAATGTAGGCATCTCAGTGCTCTGAGCACAAACATTTGGTATCTTTTCTTTGAATCAAGGTGACTGCCACAATCTTTTGTCGACTGAATCCACAGAATAAAGTCACTGTAAAGCCTCGCCTTGCCTCGCCGTTGGCTCTGAGTCATAAACACAGCAATTTTCAGGTCGAATTGAAGTCATAAACTCTGCCTGAACAAGTCAGATCGATGCTGAGTGAAAGTTTTAAACTAAAACAAACCCACAAAATACTGGAAAGAATTAGTTTTAAAACATTTATTCCTTTAAAATATTTTGCATACTGTGCTGATAGCAACAGAGGGAATAAAACACCACTCTGCATCATCTGCAATGCAAAACACTGTCCACACGTGACTGGCTGCCTTTGAATTCATCCAAAGTGGAGCTGCTGGGAGGAGAAAACCTTTCCAAGCAGAACTTTTCAATAAAAGACTTGAATTGGTGAAAACTCTTTTATTTTTGAGCGTTATAACTGATTCTGATGGTTAGAATGTCCTAAATTAACCATTTAGGGCCAAAATAAAAAGAAAATGCTGATATTTSTAATTTTCTGTGCATTTTTGGTAAAATAAAACGGTTAAATAATAGAATGCTAACATTTCAGAGAATATTCTGATATTTACCAATAAAAATGGTAATGAACTGGTTAGACAGAAAATGTTTGTGACACCAGACCCGCCCTCGGTTTTTCTCCCCGCAGGTGGAGGTGGTTTCCTGTAGTTTTGTCTGGTCAAAACAAAAGCCAGGGCTCAACTTGCTCCTTTTAGAGTATTGATGACACGTATAGTACTCAACGCAGCCGAGTTCTGCTCCACGTCTCTTTTAGTTCTTCCTTCCTGGAACCTCATGTCTGCGCGGGACATGGCCAGTGTCATTAACAACTCATGAAAGGTCAGACGGACTCATCTTTGCTACAGTTTTTTAGAGCTGAACGTGGATGAGTTCAAGTGTCTGGGAGATGGGCCGACAAGTTTGGGGTTTTTAATCAGCAGTGACGCAGGTGTCGCTCCGGTCCATCGTGGTGAAGTTGTAGCTGATGGTGAAATGATGGGGGCGGGACAGAGCACAGACCCAGAAATAAAGATCCATCGATCCATTATCTATACCTGTTTCTTCCTTTCTGGGTCAAATGGGTCACTGGTGCAAGGGGCGGGGTCGCAAGACCATCACAGAGAAATTAAAATTTATTTATACAGTTGCAATACATTTAGAACATCAAGAGCAACTCATTCAACAATGGTTTTGCAATGGTATACTTCTTATTTTGGGACGGCGTTGGCAAATGCATGTCGCAACCAAGATGCTCCGAGTTCCCTGGCCCGGAACGGCTCATTGTTTGTAGCACAGTGTTAGCGTTAGCAACACGGAAGGGCTAATGTTGCTTAGGCACGGTGGCCCGTGATGTCCAAAAAAAGTGCATGTTTCCTGTAGTTGGTTCTGTTCGAGGCCGGTCTGTATTCACACCTGAAGTGAACCGCACCTGAGGTAGTTTGGAAGTGGACCAAGACCACCCCAACGAGTGGGTCTCAGTTCGGTTAATGGGTCCATACCAGGAGTGTATTCACACCTGCATATCAGGTCCGGACCAACAGGGGAAACAAACGCTGGTCCGTTTAAAGTGGACCGAAACAAACGCTGGTCCGTTTAAAGTGGACCGAAACAAACGCTGGTCCATTTAAAGTGGACCGA